GGAGGGATTTGCAAGCTGGGAGCTGCGTGTGGGGCTGGGAAGTGGCACTTAATCCTGGGGGAAAGCACTGGCCCAAAGGGCTCCCTCCCAGATGCTGCCAATGCCAGGCTGGCAGCCTCGGTGTTTGCACTGGGAGGACCAGGCAGAGGCTGGATGTCCTGGGGCAGGGGTGCATGGAGGTCCCACAGGCTCTGCTCCGTGAGCACTGTGCATGGGGCCAGCAGAGCAGCCCTGCACATCTTTTAGCACCTACTCTGGTTGCTGACATGATGTGGTACAGGGGGGCCTCCAGCACCCCAAGGCGCAGCCCCAGCACATCCCTTGGCACCTCACCTTGCTGGCACGGTATGGGTACATGGGGGCCTCCCGCATGCCAAGGCACAGCCCAATGGAGCTCACTTTGGTGGACACGTTGATGATCGCGGCCCTGCTGCAGCTCAGGCCCTCCTTCCCCGGGACTTTTGCCGCCTTCTCCAAGAGGGGCAGGAATTCCTGTCACAAAGACACCCATGCTCCATTAATACATGACACACCCTGAGCCTGAGAATGGTGCTAAAGGTCCTGAAGAAACAAAGAAGCATGGCCAGTGCTGGGGCTGGGCTGAGCTGCCTCTCTGCTTCCCTGCTGCTAAGAATGGGCAGAAGAGTCCTCAGGCCCGTGGTCTTGCTGCCCATCCATCGTTGTGGCTCAGTCCAAGCGTGAGGCCCTTCCCTGCTGAGAGTCTTGGATTTTCTGAGGGTCTTGCACACCACCTGCAAATGACACTGGAAACACCACCCCCCTTTCCATGGCAGGAAACAACCCCAAAAGGCCACATATACCTGGGTGACCTGGAGGGGCCCGATCACATTGGTGGCGAAGGCGGCGAGCATCTCTTGCGAACCCACGGTGCGCAGCGTGGCACACGAGCTGATGCCGGCGTTGTTGATGAGCAGGTTGAGGCCCTGGCCCTTCAGGTGGGACGTCACCGCCTGCACCGCTCCCCGCACGCTGGGCAAGCTCACTATGTCTGCCGGGGGGAAAAAGAAGGGACGTGTAGGAAGGCCCCAACAGCTCCCACAGCCTCTTCCCACCTCCAGTTGGCAGCAGCCTGAATTCCCCATCCCTCCCTCATGTGCCCTCAGAAAAATGTGCTGTGGCTGGCGTTGCTCTTCTTAAACAAGCGTTATCCAAAAAGGCAGCATGGGTTGGAGCAGATCAGGGTGCTAAAACGGGTGGCAGCTTCTCCTTGCTTTTTGGGTTCATCCAGAAGCCTGGGCCTCATCGGCTTGGCTGGATTAGCGTTTACAATGAGTCCCTTGGGAGGACTCCCTTGGGAGGACGCCTGGCTGAGCTTATGGGTAGAGCCTTATTGCTTGAATGCCTTGACAAGGCATATTTTCACTTCAAGTGTGATGATTTCTAAAGTAAAACTTTTTTTTTCAGTTAATTCTTTCAAATCCAGCACTTCAAACTGCCACTCAGCACTTTTTTTTCATGATACATGAGACTACTCTTAAGAGGAACTTAACTACATTTTTTTTATATATATCCAATGAATTTCTGGCTGCTCAGGGCTTTTTTTGCAACAGATTCTTGGTCCTTATACATGGAGGCTCCTGGATTTATGTCATATTTTATTGCCACTAGGAACCAACCCCAAAAGGATGGCCATATTTCAGTGATAGACATCACCTTTTGGGACACAATATATCTATGCTTTAGAGTCTTTCCACACTGCACAGCAGCTACAGGGGCTGCCAACATCAGGTGGAGAGATTCAGTTTATCTTTGAATCACATGAAGATACAGATCTGGTTGACAAGGTTTATTTGTTTCTTTGCTTTTTTGCTTTTTAGCAAGCTTAAATTGATCTTCCCCAAAACAATTTCCTACAGTTTTGCACTTGTTGGCTCTTAAAATGCTTGCAAGCCCTTCCTTTTCTGGCTTTCCTTTCTTTCTTTCTTTCTTTTTTTTTTTTTTTTGCCTGGCACCTGTATGCCCTTGCCTCCTCCCTCCTACATAAAAGCATTGTGAAAATAGTTTGGGAGAATTGGATAAGGGAGTTTGTTTTGGGGACGCCTTATGCAAACTAACTACCGATAGGGCAGGAGGAGTCTTTATAAGATTATTGCTGCCTTATAAAACCAGTGCCACTTTCTCCCCTAAACAACATTACGTTATTTGTGATTTTGGATTTTGAACCAGGTTTGCGTGGAGGCATTCGGGGCCAGCGGGAGACCTTGGGCACACTCAGGTGCTGCTTGGTTGGCACTGGTTTTGCTGGAAGCCCAAATCCTTTCTCCAGACGGCTCATTCAGGCACCCCCTGCACAGCACCGGCATCTTTGGGGTATGCAGCGTGTTGGGCACATAGCCTCACCTGGGGATTCAAGGGCATTGCCCAGCACACTCCTCAGTCACTTTTTGGGGGGAGATAACAAGTTAACTGAGTTGCAGGCTCTGTCACTCCACCATGAGGGATCTGCCCCCATCTTTGGTGAATAATTAATTTCTCCAGAGTAGCTGAGTCATTGCAACAAGGAAAAGTCATGGCATGCTTATTCTGGTGCCACTTTGAGACCCATATCACTTGCATAGCTGAGCACATGTTTGCCTTCCCACATGCCCAGCACGCAAAGGGCATGGGGAAGCAAAGCCAGGTGTGTGGGAAGAGCTGGTTTCTTTTGCTGAACCAACCAACTCAGTTTCCCCTGGCTCAACTGCTGCCTACGAGCCAAGTTAACACCCGTGAGTCTCAACTTTGCTGCGGTGGAAGAAATGAGAAGGATAAGAAAGGGGGGAAAAGAGAAACAGAATGAAGAGAGACAGGTTTCAGGCATTTTTAAAGGTGGTTTCCAGCATCCATTTTTGGAAAGCATATTTCTCTTACTGATTTGAAATGATCTTTTATTAACAGGGAAAAAGAACACTTGGAGCAGCTTCTCTTTTTGTATATATTTTGTTGTTACATGATTTTTTTTTCATCAGTTTTTATTTTATTCTGGGACTTGGCTCTCTTCTGCACATGCTTTAGCAAAGGCTTTGAATTTAGTGGCCATCCCCTGAGATTTCCCTTTTAAGACAGCTGAGCAGGGTAAGTTTGCTCTTTGCATCACAAACGACCATCTGGCAATCTCAGATCATTTTAAAGGTGACTTAATTATGAAGAAGGTATTTTATTTCTAGTATTATGAAAGAAAAAAAAAACACTGCCTGTTTCTAGTAAAGACTGATTTCAGAAATTTCTTAAGAAATTATGCACATTTACTTTTGAGTTGATTTGTATTTTAACATACAAATAAGGAGGCAGAAACGATATGCTATTTGGTTTTCCTTGATTCAGTTTCCTTATTCTCCCAAAGGAAGTATTGTGGGAACGAGCCCTGGCTGTTTCTCATTTCCATGATTACAGAGGCGAAAACTGTATTGCAAGTGCTCCCTGTTTTTATTTATTGAATACCAGCTCTTTAAAAAAAAACCCTTGAACAGATTAGGCTCTCCTAGACACTACTGTCTGCCTCCCCAAGACTCCCCTGCAGGAAACCACACGGCGGCACCTGCTGCTTATTTAATGCTGCACCTTACATCTTGCCTGGCAGCATGGGAGATTAATAGCTTATCTTTGCATGTGTAAAGTGCCTTTCTGTCTTATCTCTCTTTTTTATTGCAAGCCCCTGTGTTGTCCAGGCCTGTTCACTGCCTTCTCCTGCTGCCCCCCAGGTCTGCTGACAAAGGCCACCAAATCTGGCCAACTTTCAAAGGGACAGGAAACCTCTCTGGTCCAACCCTGCAAACATCCCAAACCCAGATGTGCCTTTGCACTGAGCATCAATCTGTGCTACCAACACCAACATGAGGTCAGATTTCGATATGCATCCTTTTAGCCTATTTCTTCTCCCTCTTTTTACCAGCAGCAAAGGAAAGGGTGATCACGGTCACTTCCAAACAATCCTTCTGCTGCCCAGTAACGTTGAATGCTGCACCCTGCCTTGCTTTGGTTTGTGAACCTATGCGTCATGACCCAAAAAGCTATGGTGCTCAGGCACCGTATTCAGCACTTTTGGGGACTGATGTCGTACCTGCCCCATAAAACTTGCTTGGTCGAGCTGTCCGGACCCACCTCCGCCTGCCTCTGAAGCTGGTTTGGCTGCTCCAGAGGAGAGCGCTGCTTGGGGAGGTCGGGAGTGGGCCCAGATGTTCACGGATTCTTCCTTGCCTGGCAGTGTTGGAGCTGTCTGGCTGCCAGCGTGAAGGCAATGTCTCTAACAAAGTTGCCCCCAAGCCCCGAGGAAAACAGAGGGCTAGAGACAGCGCCCAGCGCAAGGAAGAAGATTGCTCCATACCTAGCTGGACCAGTTTGATGCAGGGGTGCTGGGCAGCCAGTTCTCTCAGGGCCTGGAAATGAAGTGATGGAGCTGGGGTTAGATGGTCTTGGGGACCAAGGGCACGGCCAGGCCGCCGAGATGCAGGACCACATATCTGTCCCAGCCCAGGATCTGTGAATTCCCCCTCGCTCGCCCCACTTGGGGCCGTCCCCATGCCCTGCTCCCAACACTGACCTTCCCGCTCAGTCCATTGGGTTGGCGGCAGGTGGCAAAGATGTGCCGGGGCGGCCGGGGACTCACGGCGAGCTGCCTCACCAGCTCCAGCCCGATGCCCCGGTTGGAGCCCGTCACCAGGACGCTCTGAGCCAGCGCCGCCATCTATTCCGTGCGCAGGGTGGTGACAAAGTGGCTGCACCCAGCGAAATTTCTGACTGCTCCGCGCCAACCGGAGCCTGGGAACAGCCCAGGGTGTGGCCTGGGCTCCCACGGGGATGGTGACAGTGACGGTGGCAGCCCTGGCCCCTCACCTGCCCCAGGGAAAGCTGGTGGGCCGGGAGCTCCCCAGCAGCTCGACACGGTGAGCAAGGACCTGACAGCGTTACCCAGTTTCCCAAGACTTGATTCCTTCCCTACAACCCCAGCTCCCCAAACCCCTGTAGCCGCTGAAGGGTCACCGCCATTCAGTGCTTGGAAGAACACTTGAAAGGCAACCAGAAATCAAGAGACCTAAACAGGCCTGAAATCTGGCTCAGCTTTTACAAACGATTTCCCTCGGAGCACCCAGGAGCCAGCATTGCTGGTCCGCGGCGGCCAGTGCCCCAAGGCTGCTGCTGCCACCCTTCTCCCTGCCGGAGCACCAAGCAGGGAGGCTATCAGGCCCACACGCCCCTGCTAAGCCAAGGCTCCCGGAGCCAAAACCAGCTCGGAGGCCTGGATCTGGGGAAGGGAGAAGTGAGTAACACGCTGAAAGCAGCCACATAAAAAGTCTCAACAGAATTGACTATGTTTAGCCCAAGGTTTGGACAAATCTGAGCTTAAGACTGAGGAGGAAATAAGAGCAGTGGGGATGAGTCTGTCACATCTGGATGTGTCCAAAAGCACATCTGCTGGATGGCTGTGCTCAGCCAGTCAGAGGAGATGGAGCTGGCTAATTCTTGGGGATCTCCATAATTTCAGACCCGGCACTCGCCAGAGAAATACTCTGGCTTCAGCCACCAGCTGCTAAATGGTAGAGGGGCAGCAAGATTTGGAAAAAAAATGTGCTTTCAGGTGACAGAGATCATGGGAAGAAGAAGCAATGATTCCTTCCATCTTGGTGGCAAGATGATGGCCTCCACGAGAGTAGTCGTGCTGGACGTGTTTCGGGGAGAATGGCTGGTGTCAGACCCTGGTGCATGGCAGGAGGTGCCTCTTGTGGGCGTAACCTGCCACGCAAGCAATTGCCCTGTGCAGACTTGCCCATTCCT